CCTTAGTTGTCGCAGGATTGCTCTTGATGAAGTATGTTTTGATTCATGCTAGATGTAAGGGCAGTAGGGGTCATACTAGTTTCAAAATGTTCTAGAACTTACTGAAAAGATGAATGCTTTAATATTTCTCCGACTACACATAACATTCCAATGAAATAAATGACTTTTTTCAAGAGCGATGAATATATTTTACGTAATTTGCATGTAAACGGCCGATGCGGGGCGTGGTGTTTCTGCTTTGCCGATGTTTTCGCGTGCCGTGATAATAGAGAGTCCCAGTATACCTATATAATAAATATGCTGAATGAACATAACGTCTTGTCCAATTGTTGTCTAATTGATTCTACTGGACTGATCCATTATTAGAAACAGATATCAGCTTGAGGATTAGTTGTGCACTGAGCCAGAAATGTTGTTTTAAGCGGTCTAAGATATGGCGGTCTGAGTTTTGGAAGGTTACCCACTGGGCTGTTCTTTAGGCTCAAGTGACTAGCATAACACAGTGTTTACATTGAATAATAAGGGCCTAATCCTATTAATTGATCTACTGGAATATAAAATGATTTGTACTAGTACTGAGTCTGCATGATTTACCCTTACTATTGAGTACACCATAAGTCTGTATAATTGGTCTTTTTTTAAAAATCTTCTCAGCGGCTTCTCAACTGAGATTGCAACTATGGTACGTTTGCAGTAAGTATTGTATGTCACACCACAGAGAGGAACAACGCAGGTGCTTTTTCAGCAGCACCTCTTGAACAAGAACAAGACTTGGAAGAATTGTGTTCACTGGAGGTGCACTGTTCAGACGTGCAGTTCTGAAGTACGGTCAAGACGATGCAGCCACGCATCCATCCTACACGACCCTTGACAGCGCCATGTACAGACACGAAAGTCACACTACTCCCAGATTTCAACTGACACTTACCAATGTTCAGTTAGACGGGATTTGAACGGGAACCCTGGACTCGGAGAGATTCCTTCTGTTTGTAACCGTGAAGACCCTTAAGTGGAGAAATGGATCTGCCTTGCCACGTCTTCTCTTGGCCTACGTCCAAGAGGTTTGGAGTGAGTTGGTTTAGGTTTACGCCGCACTCAGCAATATTCCAGTTATATGGCGGGTGGTCTGTAAATAATAGAGTCTGGACCAGACAGTCCAGGGATCAACAACATGAACATCGATCTACGCATTTGGGAACCGATGGCATGTGTCAACCCAGTCAGCGAGCCTGACCACCGGAACCCGTTAGTCGCCTCTTACGACAAGCATGAGTTACTGAAGATAGTGACGACCTGGGTGGACACTGTCCATGTGGATCATCATGACACTTTCGGTCCTAGACTAACAATTAGTCTCTGAAATGGACATATTTTACTGAAAAACAGTTCATAGTAAAAGAAATAATATATATAGAACGAAAAGGAGCCCTGACACTTTCTTCATTAGACTTGTCACATTTTCTAGACTTGCGTAGGCTTTCTTGGATATAATTGCTTCAGGGTCTGTACGAGAGACTATTTCGGCCCAAGAACGAACAACTGCTTGGAAGGGTTCAACAGCCGACTGAATGCCAGCCCACCAAGCCGACACCCGATATTTTGAAGAAAATCGAGACGGCAGACCGCCTGAAGATTGTCCAGTTGGACTTGGGTGCTGCTCCTCCAACAGTGAAGATACTGTACTGAGAAATAAACAACCGACTGGGCAGGTTGCAGGAACAGTTAGAGGGAGGGATGAAGACTCCGACCCAACACCTGGATGCTCTAGGGAGGCTAGTTACAGTGAAGCTGACTTAAATTGACAATATTAATGTATATAATCATGTGTTGACTTTTAGTGCTGCTAAATACAATATTTAATAAAGTAATAACTAAATAGCTTTGACCTTCAGTGCTTTTAATTTTATTGCTTTATTGCCCTTTAAAATATGTACTTTATTGTGTAAATATGTAAATAAAATATACCTATGCCCCACTATGCATTTTACCGTATTCTTAAGTGACAACAGGACTATCAGTTGGACTAGTCCATTATAATGGGTAACAGCACTTGCTTTGTGTTCCCTCAACCATGTAATTCTGTGTGTTGGACTGTGTGACAAATGGGGGGACACTCTAAGGGCTATGACTTCTGCACCCAGTATAAAGTAACTGCGCAGGAATATTGGCGTTATGTGTGTGTTTCCCTTTTAGATATTTCCGCTTCGAGATGGAGATGATATGTAGCTGAATCGTTTGAGAAACTTACGCCCAACAACTTACGCTTCTTCAACATGTTTATACCTAATGTATTTTATGTAAATGTTAGAAAATGGGTGCATACGGCTCAATATTACGGATTTGCCCAATGTGATGATGGTGAGACCTACGAGCACGGCTATGGTGCTGACAAATCCATAAACATTATTTATGTCAACCCGGGGCCATAGGTTTCTCGCTTATCAGGGGACGTAACTCCGCTTTGCATATTGAGACGACTAGGCCAACAGAGCAAGAGCGAGCTGTCTGGACACAATCATATCGTCAGTGCTATGTTCCCCAAGTTATGAAATCGAAGAATCCTTACGAAGTATGGTGGAATACCGCCGTTTTTTAGTCGGCATTGTAGGGGCGGCGGGGTAGCCTAGTGGTCAAAGCGTTCGCTCGTCACGCCGAAAACCCGGATTCGAGACCCTACATGGGTACAATGTGTGAAGCCCATTTCTGGTGTTCCCCGCCGTGATATTGCTGGAATAATGCTAAACGCGGTGTAAAACTAAACTAAACTCACTCACTCACTCACTAGTTAGTATGGTACAACACGTGTGCCTGATAGCACAGGGGTTCGAATCAATGTGTGGACAATAATGTTTAAAGAAAAAAATCTAGATTTTTGCGACCTTATATTGTTTTTTATGTTATTAGTAACTTATATTTCCAGCCCGACTATTTTAACGTGCGTTCAATCAAACCTTACGTTTTTCACAAAACAATGTGTTGAGCTTGTAGATTATTCTTTTGGCCTTCAATTCTAACCCGGATCTTCACGGGTAGTACTTAATGGAAGCAGGTGCATCATACGTCAGAATCAGTTAAACAGAGTGCAATGATTAAGTCATTTTGATTTCATTATTTTCTAATTTATGATTGAGAATTTAACTGTTCGGACCCGTGAAGGTCCGGGTTAGAATATTGATCTTCAGTAACCCATGCTTGTCGTAAGAGGCGACTAACGGGATCGGGTGGTCAGGCTCGCTGACTGGGTTGACACATGTCATCGGTTCCCAATTGCGCAGATCGATGCTCATGCTGTTCATCACTGGATTGTCTGGTCTAGACTCGATTATTTACAGACTGCCGCCATATTGCTGGAATATTGCTGAGTGCGGAGTAAAACGTAACTCGCTCGCTCACTCACTTGCCCGGGCGTCAGTTTGGGAGTGGCTTGTCCCTTTATCGACGAGCTGTGAGATATCTAGAGCGAGCGGCTTAGCGGAGGACGCCTATCTATTTGGGCTCTTGAAGGGTTTACTCGCAGATGAGAATTTGGAGTGAGTGAGTTAGTTAAAATTCAACGTCACCTCGGCAATATTTCAGCCATATAGAATTTGGAGTGAATGAATGAGATGATTTTACGCCTTTTTAGCTGTAGTCCAGCAATATTACGCCGGGTGAAACCAGGCATGGAGAAATTGGAACTATCAATGACTGTGGAAGGCAACACTTTGTGAAGGTCATTAAATCCCGTATTTGGATAGTGGTATGCGAAAAGCAGTGTCCGGAGTTACCTACCTTTGTATACCAACTTCGTTTTGTCTACATCCTATCGGAAAGCATCATCTTACTGCCTGCTTCCAACACTGTCTCCTTCGTTCAGGGAATTTAACATCGACCATGGCAAGTAGGCCACTAGACACATTATCAATAATGTAATAGGGCCTATCGAATGTTGCTGCGGCCACATATTTCAACTCACTTTATGTTTGCAAGGCAAACCCTGTCCTATTCAAGTGAGGCTTATCAACCCATCTTAATAGTACACCCATCTTTGTTACAGTTTCTGGCAGGTATCAACGTGTCGTTAGGTCTATCAGTCGGGCCGCTTGCATTTGCTTTGTGGCGTTCTGCTTGGTTGACACTCATTTCTGTTCTCTCGAGCAGTACTATACCGTCAACAAAATGACTGACTGACTACATCACGGCGGGGGGACACCAGCCAACGCTTTAACCACAAGGCTACCCCTCCCCCACCCCCCATCATCAAAATGAATACTGACATTGTGCCCTTGCCTCCTTTTAGACAGCTATAGCTGCCACAGAGGAATGCCTTTTTTTCCATCACGAGCCATGACAAGCTTTACAAGAGATTAATCAGACATATCTTGGATAAATTGTATTGCCTCTTTTATTCAGGTACTATGTGTTACAGTCGCTCGAATATGTGATGTAATATTTCACAGTATTGCGATCCGTTAGCTCAGTGCTAGACTAACAACTAGTCTCTGAAATGAACATATTTTACTGAAAAAAGTTCATAGTAAAAAGAAAATATATAATGAAAAGGAGCCCTGAGACTTTCTTCATTTTCAGAGACTAAACAAATCTGCAGAGGGATATTTTCTTGGAATTTCACAACACATGCAAAGATTCTTATCACCCATTACTGCTGTAATTGTGTGTTACAGGAATATTTACTGCCCCCACCGCCTCTGGGTCCTACTGCCAGTGGTGTGGGCCGATTTGGGGTAAGGAGTATCAAGTGTCGCCAAATCTATTTTGAAGCTGAGGAAATCTAGACTTGCCACATTTTCTAGACTTGTGTGGGCTTTCTTGGATATATTTGCTTCAGGGTCTGTACGAGAGACTAGCTCAGTGCAAGCAACTGACAATTGTGTTTAAATCAAACGATCAGTTACACGACCAGGATATGTAAAGTTCATCCGAAAATATCGATCAAAACTGCCGAGCAATGCTGTTTTTTCGAATAATGTGAGTGTTTCTCCCGGGATGTATTTTCGTAATTTTTGTCGATTATATTTTTTCAGAGAATAATAATAAGGTTTAGAGGGTCACTGTTGTCAGAAGATTAAGTGTGAATAAGTGTTTTAAAGTGTCTATGTATGTTTTATATATAACATGTGACACACAAATAAAAACAATATGTTCTTCTTCTATGACTCTTAGTTGGGTCACTCATTATTTCGGATGCACTAATGTACAGAAAACGATGGCCTCTCCTCTTATGCCTGACATTTGTTTGGATAACTCTCCCAATGTCGTTGTATACAGGACAGAAATTTTGAAATTATGAATAATGATCTATTTATTCATTGACACACTGATAAAATATCAATCATGAAAAGACCAATATCCCTAACTTATTTTGTCTAGTATATTTATGCATATACGTTAATCAAATGCAGATTTTCCTGCCGTCTGATTTGACCAATCACCACTTTTTTTCAGCGATATCCTTTATCAATAGAATGTCCACGAAACACAACATAAAATGACTTAAAGTGCGTTACAATCAGTCACTTTCTTTGCAGACAATAAAAGTTGAAAGTGAAACCTTCACATTCTTCATTGGGCCGGGTGTCAACTAGCTGCAAACATGGCAGTTCAGACCCTGAAAACATCAACGTAAAAGGACCTAAAGTCCACATTATACAGATTCAGGTGTTCAAATGTGAGCTGAACAAACAATTATTTTCATTAAGGAATATCTTAAAGGTAGGTCATTATATTGAAAGATCTTAAGGAAGAGAGTTTTTATCGATGTCAACTTTTTTCTTATGAATATACACGTTTCGGAGTATATGTTACTCCTTCATCAGATCTTGAACGATCTTACACATCGGTTTGCAATAAGCCTATCTTTGTCATTAAATGCGAAGCTGGGGCGGTTTTATAATCTGTATATTCAACTTTGCACGTTCAAAAGATAATTATGAAAGTGACAAACCAATTTTCACAATTCTAAGACATTTCTGCTAAAGCAGACTGCTGACTCTGTCTGTAACTGACGGCGAACCACTTACCAAACACGCTCTTGATCTCGTCCGGTTCCATGGAATAGGGTGGCCCTGGAACACAGAACTATAAGTTACTATAGCAACTAAACAAATCACAAATTTATCGGGGGATTGTCATTTTCTATTTCACTATTTTTACGATTACGTTTTGATAGATAACATGACAGTGTAATTTTCACATCTAGTTTTCTGATGATTTTGAAAGTCGGGACTTTCGAAAGTCGAAGATATTTGAGGTTCGAATTTGTTTCTGTCGTCGTCTTTTGTTTTGAAAAAAAGACGAAGGAAGTTTCATGATGTGAAGAAATTATTCTCATTATCTATATTTTGGCCATTATACAAATCACATTTGTGTCTAAGGTTTCAACGAGGAATATACTTGACCTTTGAATTTCTTTCTGTCATAATCCATTGTCTCAAAGAAGAAAACACACGTCGGGGATAGCAATGTCCGCCACACAGCTAGATATCTGAAAGGTAAAACGACTTTTTAAAAATATGTTTTTTAGTGACAAATTGTTTCATACAGTTAATACAATGTGGGATCAGACAGAGAGCACAATTATGATTAAGAGTGTCCTTATGTGAGAACTGTGTGCATCGAGATGTCATGACCTTGACCGGACGATTTCGTTCATCGTATTGCCGCAGATTTTTACAGACAAGTGTTGTAAAGGCGTGTAGTTACGAAGAAGAGGAGTAATGCGCGATCGGATGTTGCCTAGACCGGAACAGACGCCATTTTATTATCATATAATGTTAATTATGTATCTCATAACTTTATACGAACACCCAAAACGACCACATGAAATATGATTTAAAATGCTATAAAACGGAGACTCTTTCCAGATTTCTTTTATTCTGCATTCGGAGCACACCATATTGCACATTGTGTGTATAAATCCATATTGACACACTGCTTCCAGTTTCGGATTAGCTGTTTCGCAGCAAGACGACGCGCGGACATCAGGGTTGGGATTGAAAAATTGTACATCTATTTGGGGAACCGAAACCCAAGAGAGGAAGGGCTCTTACGAGAGACATCTGGTAGACGCGTTCATGTAAAAAAAGAACAGAGACGGAATATATGACTTACTTATCCCAGTCACGTTTGTCAAGGGAGACAAATCCGGCGGCATCCCAAATGACGTCAAACTGGCCTTCAAGGTCCCTGTTTGGATAAACTGATGTTGTATTAAGCAAAAATATTGATAACGATGACGATGAATCATTTTGACGACCAGAAATTACAGGAACATCACCCAGAGGGAGTAATATAATTACTACACAATAACAGATACAATCATGGAATACTGGCAACATCAACTATTATTCATCATACATCCTCCCCCCGGCCCTCCACTACTACTACTACTACTACAACTACTACTACTACTACTACTACTACTACTACTACTACTACTACTACTACTACTACTACTATGTACTCTGACTCACTGAGAACAACCTATTTGAGTGGCTTTTGGAAGTTGGATGTACAAGGGGATAGGTCTGTGGATATACAACTTCTTTGTTAAGGTACATGCGACGTTTGGGTGTAGATGCTAAGACCGTTATCAAGCGAGTGAGAGCATATGACATTTTTATTTTACTACTTACCGAGAAAAGGTGAAGAAGTTTCCACAGTAATATTTCAGTTTGCCCGTCTTGCTCTGCACGAAAAGGATAGTACGAACAACATTACAACATACACTAAACGCCAAAAGAAACGTTACCCTCCTACTTTTATAAATTACTGAAAAACTATCAAATATATGTTAGAAGGTATGAGATTATGAGAAAGTTTAATAAAACATCTTTATGCAAATCAGGAAAAAAAATCTGAAATGCATTCATATTTAGGTGAAATGCATCTTTTTCTGAAGAGTTAAATTGTCCTATATTCGTCCATGCCGACAGAAACCAATAACAGTTCTTTTGATGTCCAAAAGAAAGGTTGAAATAATATTCTGCTTTTGGGACTATGATAAACCATTTAAAGTCACCATCTTCTAACTATTAAAACAAGAAACAACTGTTATAGAGTGTAAAATTGTAAAATAATGATTCCTGTGATTTCAGTCTTTTAAATATTTTCTACTTATTTGCATTAGTGAAAACAAGTTAAACGTGTTTTTGATATTGTGAAAAAATGTTTAGGAACATCTAAAATTATCTTTGTCAAAGGTCACATGCAACCAAAAAATCAAACATAATTAAAACACAATTATCACTTATTCATGACATATAATATACATTGCTGGTTATGAAAAAACATATAAACAAAATTATAAGCGGGTGAGTGTGCACTCAAGTGTAACGGCTGGTTCATTTGCATATGCCCTGACGGCTCGTTGTGTGTGTATATATAGAGATGTTGGGTTTTGTAAATACATGCTCATTGTTTGTGTATAACATTTTACAATCAACAGATATCATAACATGTCATGTGTTCAAGTATCACACCTGCCTGTCTGTGTAATTACATAATGTGACAGAGACCGAACTCGGGCCATAAGTCAATGTATTTTGTTTATGGTGAATAGCCTGATTGGTGTTAAGTTCAAATTGCATGTGGTCAGTGAAAGCAGCTGTGTATTGAATATTGTCATTAGCAGACAGGCAGGCAGACACACAGGTGTCAATAAAACAAGACATTGAGTTTTGTCTGTGACAACGACATATCTATATCACAGTTAGAAACTCTGTCAACGCTAAATAATGACATTGCTTTTAAGTATCGAACTGAGAAAGTGACTCGGTAAGAAGAACGTGTGGTGAAATAGACAAATGAAATTATATAAACATTTAATTTACTGTCATAACATATAAAAAGCTCGCGCCTTTGAGATATCAACAAAACATTAGAAAAATAGCTCACACCAAAGCTTTCACCGAGTATTCACCGGACAGCCCGCTTCAACTTGCGCGAATCTATTTCACTGCGCACGTGCTATGAGCGCAGCCCAACTGTTGAAACCAGTTTTCCCCCAGAAAAGTCGGGGGAAAATTAGTGAAACGATTTTCAACTTTATAAGTTGAATTTGCATTTTGGACGATTTATTTCGGTAAGTCCACACCGAAAGGTATCAGAATCTGCAAAGTTGTGTTTTACGCTGCATGTGACCTTTAAGAGTGCATTTAGAGTACTGGGCCTAGATTTTCGAAGCTCTCTTAGCGCTAAGAAAGTCGTAAGTGCCATACATTAACGTTAACTTAACGACTATCTTAGCGCTAAGAGAGCTTCGAAAATCTAGGCCCTTAATGGAATTTAATGGAGTACCAGTAATCTTGTGTTTCGTTATGCACCACAACATTGCTACTCAGTACTATTTTGTAGCAGGTAGAAAAACATTAAAACAAAACTTTTTCAGATAAATACGTCTGTAAATGATTCTAAGACCGTACACCATTGCTGTGGTGCATATCTGCTACGTTTTTCTAAATTATTTCTTACGGTATCGTGCACATATTGTATCCGTACATACGCCGATACGGCCTTTATCTGGAGCCCTGTTAAGCACTGGATTGTCTGGTCCCGACTCGATTATTTACAGCCTACCGCCATAAAGCTGACATATTGCTGCCTGCAGCGTTAAACAACCAACCAGCTTACAGTGAACACCTTCCCCTTGATGCCCGGAACTTCTTCTGTTGTGTACTCCAGCTTCTGTTCCGAGAAGAAGTCCCTGGCAGCTTTCTCTGCGATGTCCACTCCCACAACATAGTGACCTTTGTCCGATAACCTGACATTCAAGTGGAGGTGAAGGTTAGTCTGTATGACGTGAGGGGCGGTGGGGTAGCCTAACGGTTAAAACATGCGCTGGTCACGCCGAAGGCCCCGGTTTAATTCCCACATGGGTACAATGTATGAAGCCCATTTCTGGTGTCTCCTGCCGTGATGTTGCTGGAATATTTCTAAAAGCAGCGTAAAACTCACTCACTCACTCACTCACTCACTCACTCACTCACTCACTCACTCACTCACTCACTCACTCACTACTCACTCACTCACTCACTCACTCACTCACTCACTCACTCACTCACTCACTCACTCACTCACTCACTCTATGACGTGACTGTCCTTAAAATCATCATGGTTGTTACATATGTTTCTCCAATGACAGCCTGTGTTAATAAAAATAAATTGCATTGATTAGATAACTAAGCAATTAATCTTTTGCAAACCGAAAACCAATGACTGTGTCCTGATTGGCTGAAGAGCAGAGTTTGTGCATTACTACGCTGAACGATGTCCAAGATTTACTTATCTATTTATCTATTGCGCAGATGAAAATGAGTGTGTACACGCTACGACGCTGAATTACACAGTGTGCAAACATTTTTTTACGTTTATACCCTGATAGACGGAAACATGTATTGAAGTCAATTTGATAGATGTTGAATAGTTTGCAAGTATGGAAATATAACATTAGAGAAGACAGAACAAGTGTTTTATTCTTCTCCGCGAGTTATGGATCTACCGACCAAAATGAAAACAAATCAGGGATGTATACTCATTTCAGAAAGAGACAGAATGGAATCGTAGGAACAAGCCCTATAATAAGACCATGAAATAAAGTTGTGTACCAGGTTAAATTTACAAATATTTCTTCAAAGGGAACCATGTCTCAATTCCAAAGCTACAAAGAGGTTAAGTATGGGCTGCTACATCTGAGAAGGGAATGTGAATAAAATGGGCGTTAGAGTTCTATTTTTAGTTACAATATACCGGGTCTTTATGAGAGATACCCTGTTGATGGCGTATTGTATTTCTGGTAGGGATGAGGTATCATAGCAACAGTAAGAGATCGATTTTACATAGATATGTCGTTGTACATTCCACCACCCTGCGGATTGTCAAGGAAAGAACTTTAATCTGTTAAATCAATGATTATAGAGTTGACGTTGTTGCATGATGTTGCCTCAGATGACGATGTTGACTTTAGAGGTGAAGGTGAGCTACAGACCTGACTGGCTAAAATGATCGATAATCGGATAATATCGTCGATAGTTAAAATGTTAATGATTATGGGTATGAAAATTGTGTTATCGATAATATCGTACATCGTAAGTTTCAGCTTTCTCACACAACATACAAATTTAGGACTTTATTCACGGTCTGCTGTTTAATTATGTCCAGGACGTTGTTTTGTTAGAAGTCCATGAAAAACATGTCACCGCCCACCAGTGATGTCAAATATGTTGATTTCTTCAGACGTTTTTGGCAGTTTTGCTCAAAGTTACGTCTCCGATATTTATCGATAATCGATCGATGTTTAGTTAACGATTATCGATCTCTATGATGTATATCATTAGCCAACCCAAGCTAGAGTGCATGCTGGGACGGGTGTCTGTCTTACCCACGCTTCAAGGGTAGGACAGAGGGACTGTAACAGAAAAACACAATATTCACCATCTCAAATCCTCAGCTTTTCCACATAGGGTCACGAGTACTTTCTGATTGGTCCTGGAGCCTGTCAGCTGCTCAAAGTGCTTTTTTAAAGACCTGCAAAAATGTTTTATAATATTCTTTAGTAGCTTCAAAAGTTGCACAGAAATGTATCACTTAGAAACACGCTAAAAAAATGCATTTAATAATTCTACAGAATCCTTAAAAACGCTTGAATTGTTGGATTGAATAAATGGATGAATGTTTTTGTTTGTGTGTTATTTACTCCGCACTAGAACTATGTGACAGCGGTCTGTAAATAATCGAGTCAGGACCAGACAGTCTTGTGATCATTAGCATGGGCATAGATCAACGCAACTGGGATACGATGACATGTGTCAACCAAGTCAGCGAGCCTGACCACCCGATCTCATTCGTCGCCTCTTACAACAAGCATGGGTTGTTGAAGGTCAATTCTAACCCGGATCTTCACGGGTAGGATGAATCTTTCGATTATTTCTCACGGGTTAAGTTCAGCTGGGTAATCCATCTCTCCTTCGTTCCAGAAATCGACAACCTGTTTGAGACGTTCATCCGGGTCATCGGGGACCACGTGGAAAGGTTGTGGCTCTGCTTCAGCCATGCTTATAGCTCACCTGTAGCAAACAACAACATCCAGATGCCACGTATATTTACTTAATCCAGCTGAGTTTATCATTAACATGATGAAATTGATGGTTTTGAAAAAGAAATAATGAGTGAGTATGGTTTTACGCCATTTTTAACAGTGTTCCCGCAATATTGCGGCGGGGGACATCAGGAATAGGCTTCACACATTGTAGACATGTGGGGCATCGAACCTGGGTCTTCGGCACCTGGTTGACAATTTTGTAGTACCTCTGCCGACATCGACCACAGTCGTTGAAGTTGAAGAAATACTTTTATATAGTACTAAGACCCCGTCAGAGACAGTACCTACCTTGATGGCAGTTTTTAGCGTTACAAGCCCCTGTGGTTCGCTCGTCACGCCGAAGACCCGGGCTCGATTACCGACATGGGTACAATCATTCTCTTCCCACAGAGGTTACTTGTCATATCTTCCTACGAAGCTGTTCTAATACGGCCATATTTCCCGGGTCTCGTAAAATCCCATAGCGGCCAAAGATCGCAACACGAATTATCTCCCTTCTTTCTATCCAATCAGAACACGTGTTACATCGACTTAGATTCAAATGTGGGGCCACAAATATCCCCCATCTGCCGGGGACTTGTGTTGATGTTACACACAAGACGTTTAATGGCTAGCTTGTCCGTTGTCAACGAGGGCGATGGAGACGCCACTGATCCGCCATAACATGACTGAGTTCTGTCTAGAAGAAACGTTTGCGCATCGCGCAGGGGAAGAGGTTTAGTTTTCTCGAAGTATACGGAAATTACCGAGGCCTTGCGAATGATCACTAAATGTGATTGCCTCCAATCACGAGTCTTGAACGCTTACACGATGAAAGGGCCGTATTAGAACAGAGGTTACGTAGGAAGATATGACAGGAGTAACATCTGAGGGAAGAGAATTGGGTACAATGAGTGAAGCCCATTTCTTGTGTCCGTGATATTGCTGGAATATTGCTAAAATCTTCGTAAAACCATACTCACTCACTGTTTCTTTTTCAAAACCATCAATTCCGTCATGTTAATAAAATTAATTCAGCTAGAATAAAAAAACGTGATATCTAGTATCTAGGTGTCGCTCACTACACACATAGAATAAAGTCAACGTCAAAATTGTTTGAATTTGACTCACCGTTTGTACATAAGCAAGATAATAGTCAGCAGCGCATGGTACATTAAAATCATGCCTATATTTGGAAAAAAATCTAAAATTACGTAAACACACGCTCACTCCAAGTCCTCCTATACCTTTACTGCAGAGTGACCTAGATGCCTTGACCCATATATGTCGTGAATGCCTCCTGGCTCACGCTGCTCTGATCAAGCGAGACGCGACCCCGGTCTAAATACCTGAAGATTTCTCGCGAAGCTTCACTCCACACGAACAGTACACTGGGTAGGTTGCTTGTACAGTGTGCGTACAGTCCACTAATTGATCAGTGCACACTTTACCAACTACCCTAAGGTTTGCCGATCGAAGTCGTCACTGACAATTGAACTAATTTCGTAATATACGACACCGAGACGAGTGTTGATCAATGTAAGGGAGGTAACCATAGGTAATGCACATCTTGAGGGACCTTATCAAAACCTCTGGGCCGAAATTATGGCGTCCAAACATTTGAAGCACCCAACCTCTGCGCCGAAATTATGGCGCCAGTTTATTTGGACCACACAGCCCCTGAACCGAAATAAGGCACCAGAACCTTTTTATCTACGCACATCTGACTCGAATTATGACGTCTGAACAATATAGACCCTGACCTGAAATTGAACCGGATCTTGAACCGGATGAATCACTGAGTCATCCAATCTTTTTAAACATTTACATATAGCAAATTCATGTCACACACCAACTATTTCACCCAACATCTTTTGATATGACCCCTCTCAGTCAACACTGAACGGGTAGTTGAAACAGGCGTTGTGCATGGACCAAGGCTAGGGGTGCTCTAGTTGTGAAGGTAAGTTAATCTAGCGCTGTATTGACTTCAGACCTTTAGCAAAGTAAGATCGCACTAATAGCTAGTCACACTATGCTCCTACGGCACATAGTGTACCCTACCTCACACAGAATCAGTGCACCGAACCACAACTCGCCAGTCTGGAATATCCGTTTACGATGTCAGCCTGTTCACTGTCGTCGATGTCTGTACCGACCTCGCCTATAGACTGCTGCAGAGCCCACAGGTCGCCTGTATATTCTGTTGACATTACGCGTCAGTGGACACACCCCTGTATTCTATGACAAGAGATTCTGCGTGCACATGCAAATGAGAGTACAGCTTCATATGCGAAGTCGGGAATGACGGGAATGGCTGTGATTTCATTGCCAAAAGGGCCCTAGAACTAAATATTGCGATATTTTCGGTATTTCTGCTCACGGGATCCTTGGATTTGACTTGTTCATAACATGACTGTCATATCTCTGTAAATCCTCTCTATACCACAGTCAAAATCAATGTAAATTATAATCCAGGTTTATACCACGAGAAACATACTCAAGTAACTATTGAGTTTTATTTCAGCAATAAATCTGGACGATGTCACAAGAGGATCGTGTTCCTGATACTCCCGATGGTAGGATCAATGATTGGCTGAAAGGCTGGGACCAGGGGCACTGGGACTTCACCTTCACGGAACCCGGCCAGTAGGTATACATAAGGTAAAGGCCGGGCACTGGGACTTGACTAAACAGAGCCTGGCCAGTAGGTATACATAGGGTTGAGTAGGCCGGGCACTGGGACTTCACTAAACAGAGCCCGGACAGGAGATTTACATAGGGTAGAGTAGGTCGGGCATTGGGACTTCACCTACTGGGAGCCCGGCCAGTAGGTATACATTGGGTGGAGTAGGCCGGGCACTGGGGCTTCACCTTCACGGAACCCGGCCAGTAGGTATACATAGGGTATAGGCCGGGCACTGGGACTTGACTAAACAGAGCCTGGCCAGTAGGTACACATGGGGTTGAGTAGGTCGGCACTTGGACTTCACCTACAGGGAGCTCGGCCAGTAGGTAAACATATGGTGGTTCCAAACGACTGGAGTCATAACATTGACACTAAAACATACATTTTCCTGATAATGTCTTTTCAGAAATCTGGCGAAATATTTTGAGAAAGTTACTGACGGACGGAAAGGAATGAAAGTGCTGGTCCCACTCTGTGCGACGACCTTCGACCTCATCTGGTGAGTGTTTATGTCACACATCTGTGGACGTGCAATTCCGACTGTATCACATGCAGAATTTTATGGATCACTAAATATATATTGATAATACATAATTATGACCGGTGGCACCTGTCACAAAAACTTGCAAAGGCGAGCCAACAAAGACGAGAACAGAAGTACTGGTTTGAAATTGCATGAGTCATCACTTTTGTGACTGATGCGACAAATTTGGCGACTAGATTATACTAGTGGATAGGCCCCTGTTCCACCAAGCCGCGACGGGTATACGACCGAGCGCGATCACTGCGACCAGTTCGATCGCAGCCGGTTTTTTTGCGACCGATTTTGACACATTATGAATTTCCAGTTACACCAAGCCAGCTGTGCGATCCCACTACGACCAAAAAGTGTTCACAGGTCATTTTTTGGGCGAGCGAGTTGAGACCAAATTGAGAGCGATACGATCGGTCGTATAGTCGTCGCAATATGGTCATACTGTGGTACGACAGTATTGGCGATTTTACCTGCGAGCAGCCACGACTGGGTTGAGACCAACACGACAGTTTCTGCGACTGACTTGCGACCGATCTGCGACCAACCTGACCAGTGCGACTGTTCGTGCGATCGAGTACGACCGTATCACGACCAATGCGAGTCTATGTGAGTTCTGTACAACCATGGCGACTTTTTGTAAGATCGCATCGAGACCTATACGACCTGACCAAGACTTGTTCGGTATCGGTCACCAAAGTTTAAAAACGGCCGCGACCGACTGAGATCGTGTCATTCTGAGCCTGAACAGCAGACTGAAAACACCTAGTGAAGATGGACACTGAAATGACCCTGGTCCTTGCCTTGCTGTCGGAAACCCACCAACAAATACAGGATATTGGTAATTGCACCTTGTCCATGGTTAGACGCTTTCAGCGAAGGAAAAAGGCGTCGACGGCGTGAAGTTTGCGTACGAGAGTGGCTTACCCCTTCGGAGACACAAGACCACTGCCAGTACTACCACCTTGTCCAGAAGTTGAAGGAAGAGAATCCAACTCAGATCAAGAACTACATGAGGATGCCAGTCGAACTCTTTGACGAAATTCTAGAAAGAGTAGGGCCCATGATAACAGGAGAAGGCACCAATTACAGACCCTCTTTGGAAGCAGGGTTGAAACTCGTACTGACATTTGGACACCTAGCCACCAGTGTCCACTGACCAGTATGCAAACATGGCCTACAGCTACAGGGTCAGCAGGACATCAGTTCAGCGCATGGTTCCCCTAGTTTGCAGAGCTATCATAGAAGCCTACAGAGACGAGGTATTCAAGACACCTACAACAGAGGGAGAGTGGAAGAAGAAGAACCCAACAGTTTGAAGAAAGATAGCAAGTACCTCATGCCATAGCTGCTCCGGATAGTAAACACATCAAAATCCGTGCACCTCCAAAGAGTGGAAGTGACTGCTGGTGTGTCTACAAAAGCTGCTACTCCATTGTTCTGCTGGCACTGGTGGGCCACGACTACGAGTTCCTGTGGGTGAGTACTGGAGGTCTTGGACACCAATCAGATGCCCAAATCTTCAATGCTTCAAGTTTCAAGGAACTCTTGGAGAGTGGTGCACTTGGCATTCCCCCAGCTGAACCTAATGAACCAGCTGACCCTAAATCAGATGATCAATCTAGGAACCTGCCATACTTCATATTGCCCGATGATGATTTTGCGATGAGAACATTCTCATGAAGCCCTGGTCCAAGAGAAATTTGAGCAAAGAAGAACTGATGTAGAACTACCGTATATCAAGGGGAAGACTGGTAGAGACTGCCATCGGCATTATGGCTAACAGATGGAGGTGTCTCATGACTACGTTGCATCAAACCCCTGAAATTGTCCAGACCATGACAGAGTGCTGTATAGTACTTCACAACCTCTTGAGCTTGAGGCACCCAGGCATCCAAGACGTCGAGGTTGACCATGATGACGACAATCATGGACTCGTGTTAGGTTCCTGGAGACGAGGCATCAGTCTCCACGAAGACAACGGTCCTCCTGAAACCACAAACAAGGACCATACAGCTGCCAATACTCAGTGGCTGTACCAAAAAGACTGCTTCAACGACCTAATGAGAGGAGTAGTTGCTTGGCAGGACAGAATGGTGACCCTTACATGCCCACCTCGACGGGAGGACCCAGATATATAATAACATTCCTTGATGTGATGTGATTTGATGTCATGTGAGAACATTCCAGAATGTGGTGTGATATGAAATCTAAACAAACATGTCTTTGTATATTATACAGTATTGTGTATTAAAACTGATTAATCTGTCCTCGTTAATGATTATATCATTAAATATTTAATTCTCTCTTATTGTCTGTCGTTTTCTGAGCGAGATGGGTTTCACAATGTGCCGGGTGTATGCATGATAAGCAAGCACAGGGTGACATCTTTCACTTCTAGTTATACTCAAGAGCCAATTCTCTTTATGACAGCAAGCATGATCTCTTAATTCAAGGATTTCACATAAATCAGAAGAAAAGGAAGGCATGATTTCTGAGTGAACTTCTTTATTGGGAATAACACCACCTTTCGGAGTATTGCCTTACTCCTTCATCAGGTGATTGTCTTAATATTTCCCCTCCTTCACCTGATAAAGGAGTTAGGACATACTCTGAAAGTGGTGTTATATTATTCCCAATTCAGCTCACATGCAGACATGTTGCTTTTTGTTAAATATTCCACTTGTAAATGATTTAAGCCGTATTATACCAAATAAACAACCCATCTGTCATGAAAAAGAAGACAAAGATGTGTTGAAGCTTATAATAATTTAATCAAGAAATAATGTCCATATTCAAAAGAAAACAAATAATCACATGTGTACAACGCTCCCATGAAACAATTTTAAAGAAAAGAGTCACTTTGGGCGAGTGAGCGCGATCAAGTTGCGTGTGCATGCAACCGACATGCGACCGCTCCAGGGCCCCACTGCGACCGATGTGAGCAAACTGAGACCGAAATAGCGAGTGACCCATCGGTCGCAAACGACGATCTCAGTGCGAGTGTGCACGAGTGAATGCGACCGAGAGACAAACATCGGTCGCACTGGGGTCGCAAGCTCGGTATAACGGTGGTATTAGGCTCGCTGACTTGGTTGACACATGTCATCGTATCCCACTTGCCTAGATCGATGCTCATGCTGTTGATCACTGGATTGTCTGGTTCAGACTTTGTTATTTTTAGACCGCCGCCACATAGCTGCAATACTCCTCAGTGCGGCGTAAAACAAACAAAAACCAAAATTGTCACCTGGCACGTATCCCTCCTGAGGTACGATCTTGGATTCGAACCGGCGAGCTCACCGGATATTCTCGGATTTTGCTGACAATTTCCATTTTGTGTGTAGGTTCTGTGAGCGAGGACACACTGTGGTTGGCGCTGATCTGGCCGAGAGCGCCGCACAGCGGATCTTCAAGCAGTACAAGCAGAAACCTATCATTGAAGACGCCCCCAGTATCAACGGAAAACTGTACAAGGTATTTGCCTTATTTGCGTATATTTAGGGCGTACACGGCGAAACCTGCACGTGCTTGCTCCGCGTTGCTTGCTTGTATATAAGGTCAACATGACCCAATGCGAGCATATTTGCAAGGTTTGCTTGTATTTAGGTCAACATGACCCAATGCGAGCATATTTGCAAGGTTTGCTTATATAAGGTAATCTAGATCCAAATAGTTATCAAACACGGAGACAAAACTGATATATGCTATGAAGTCAGTTGGTATCCATCTTGTTTCATTTCCCCACAGAATGCAAGTGGTAACTTCAAGTTCTACGTGGGGAACTTCTTTCGTTTTAATGAGTAAGTATGTTCAGACACTACGTTTAGTGATTTATCTCAGTTTTTAGAACTGAAAACAGCATGTGACTATATGTGGTTCTTTCTGTCGTTCCACCAGTAATGAAGCACACTGTAAGTGTTTTAGTACATTTCCCTCAGAAACGCCACCTACAACAAAACGCCCGGATTGTTACAGTGTGTTTGAACTTTGACAATAACAGCATACGCAGGGTTTTGTTGTGAATCTTACAGTTACCCCAGTAGCACGCTGAGGTTGTTTTACTGCATCTTCCCCAGAATCTCCACCTACAACAGCACACTAAGATGGCTATATTGTGTTCCAGGAATCTCGAGGGGAAGTTTGACTTTGTCTGGGACGCTGGAGCCATGTGTGCTGTAGATGAAAGGGACAGAGACGAGTAGGTTGAACCAATCAGTAGGGGATTTCTATCCCAAACTAGTTTAAAAATGTAGTCTTTCCAAAGCAATAAAACATTTTACAGTTGTACTTAGCGTCTGAGCGCGCATGCAGTATGTAGACAGATACAAATTCACCTTTGTGATGACTTACAATCTAGGTACATGAAAGCTATCAGGGGAGTTATGGGGCCCAAGTGTATCACAAATTACTGACAGTATGAAGGTAGATACAGATTCACCTTTGTGATGGCTTGTATTCCAGGTACATGAAAGTTATGAGGGGAGTTATGGGGCTCAAGTGTATCACAAATTACTAACAGTATGAAGATAGATACAGATTCACCTTTGTGATGGCTTGTAATCCCAGGTACATGAAAGCTATCAGTATGAAGGAGTTCATGGGGTATTCCCATGAAAGTGTTATCACAAATTACTAACAGTATGAAGATAGATACAGATTCACCTTTGTGATGGCTTGTATTCCAGGTACATGAAAGCTATGAGGGGAGTTATGGGGCCCAAGTGTATCACAAATTACTAACAGTATGAAGATAGATACAGATTCACCTTTGTGATGGCTTGTATTCCAGGTACATGAAAGCTATCAGGGGAGTTATGGGGCCCAAGTGTATCACAAATTACTAACAGTATGAAGATAGATACAGATTCACCTTTGTGATGGCTTGTATTCCAGGTACATGAAAGCTATCAGGGAGTTATGGGGCCCAAGTGTATCACAAATTACTAACAGTATGAAGATAGATACAGATTCACCTTTGTGATGGCTTGTATTCCAGGTACATGAAAGCTATCAGGGGAGTTATGGGGCCCAAGTGTATCACAAATTACTAACAGTATATGAAGATAGATACAGATTCACCTTTGTGATGACTTACAATCTAGGTACATGAAAGCTATAGAGGGGAGTTATGGGGCTCAAGTGTATCACAAATTACTAACAGTATGAAGATAGATACAGATTCACCTTTGTGATGGCTTGTATTCCAGGTACATAGTTATCCAGGTACATGAAAGCTATCATAGAAAGCTATCAGGGAGTTATGGGGCTCAAGTGTATCACAAATTACTAACAGTATGAAGATAGATACAGATTCACCTTTGTGATGGCTTGTATTCCAGGTACATGAAAGCTATCAGGGGAGTTATGGGGCTCAAGTGTATCACAAATTACTAACAGTATGAAGATAGATACAGATTCACCTTTGTGATGGCTTGTATTCCAGGTACATGAAAGCTATCAGGGGAGTTATGGGGCCCAAGTGTATCACAAATTACTAACAGTATGAAGATAGACACAGATTCACCTTTGTGATGGCTTGTATTCCAGGTACATGAAAGCTATTCAGGGGAGTTATGGGGGCCCAAGTGTATCACAAATTACTAACAGTATGAAGATAGATACAGATTCACCTTTGTGATGGCTTGTATTCCAGGTACATGAAAGCTATCAGGGGAGTTATGGGGCCCAAGTGTATCACAAATTACTAACAGTATGAAGATAGATACAGATTCACCTTTGTGATGGCTTGTATTCCAGGTACATGAAAGCTATGAGGGGAGTTATGGGGCTCAAGTGTATCACAAATTACTAACAGTATGAAGATAGATACAGATTCACCTTTGTGATGGCTTGTATTCCAGGTACATGAAAGCTATCAGGGGAGTTATGGGGCCCAAGTGTATCACAAATTACTAACAGTATGAAGATAGATACAGATTCACCTTTGTGATGGCTTGTATTCCAGGTACATGAAAGCTATCAGAGAGTTATGGGGCTCAAGTGTATCACAAATTACTAACAGTATGAAGATAGATACAGATTCACCTTTGTGATGGCTTGTATTCCAGGTACATGAAAGCTATCAGGGGAGTTATGGGGCCCAAGTGTATCACAAATTACTAACAGTATGAAGAAGATAGACACAGATTCACCTTTGTGATGGCTTGTATTCCAGGTACATGAAAGCTATCAGGGGAGTCATGGGGCCCAAGTGTATCACAAATTACTAACAGTATGAAGATAGATACAGATTCACCTTTGTGATGACTTACAATCTAGGTACATGAAAGCTATGAGGGGAGTTATGGGGCTCAAGTGTATCACAAATTACTAACAGTATGAAGATAGATACAGATTCACCTTTGTGATGACTTACAATCTAGGTACATGAAAGCTGTCAGGGGAGTTATGGGGCTCAAGTGTATCACAAATTACTAACAGTATGAAGATAGATACAGATTCACCTTTGTGATGGCTTGTATTCCAGGTACATGAAAGCTATGAGAGAAGTTATGGGGCTCAAGTGTATCACAAATTACTAACAGTATGAAGATAGATACAGATTCACCTTTGTGATGGCTTGTATTCCAGGTACATGAAAGCTATCAGGGGAGTTATGGGGCTCAAGTGTATCACAAATTACTAACAGTATGAAGATAGATACAGATTCACCTTTGTAATGGCTTGTATTCCAGGTACATGAAAGCTATCAGGGGAGTTATGGGGCCCAAGTGTATCACAAATTACTAACAGTATGAAGATAGACACAGATTCACCTTTGTGATGGCTTGTAATCCAGGTACATGAAAGCTATCAGGGGAGTCATGGGGCCCAAGTGTATCACAAATTACTAACAGTATGAAGATAGATACAGATTCACCTTTGTGATGGCTTACAATCTAGGTACATGAAAGCTATGAGGGGAGTTATGGGGCTCAAGTGTATCACAAATTACTAACAGTATGAAGATAGATACAGATTCACCTCTGTGATGGCTTGTATTCCAGGTACATGAAAGCTTTGAGAGAAGTTATGGGGCTCAAGTGTATCACAAATTACTAACAGTATGAAGATAGATACAGATTCACCTTTGTGATGGCTTGTATTCCAGGTACATGAAAGCTATCAGGGGAGCTATGGGGCCCAAGTGTATCACAAATTACTAACAGTATGAAGATAGATACAGATTCACCTTTGTGATGGCTTGTATTCCAGGTACATGAAAGCTATGAGAGAAGTTATGGGGCTCAAGTGTATCACAAATTACTAACAGTATGAAGATAGATACAGATTCACCTTTGTGATGGCTTGTATTCCAGGTACATGAAAGCTATCAGGGGAGTTATGGGGCTCAAGTGTATCACAAATTACTAACAGTATGAAGATAGATACAGATTCACCTTTGTAATGACTTGTATTCCAGGTACATGAAAGCTATCAGGGGAGTTATGGGGCCCAAGTGTATCACAAATTACTAACAGTATGAAGATAGACACAGATTCACCTTTGTGATGGCTTGTAATCCAGGTACATGAAAGCTATCAGGAGTCATGGGGCCCAAGTGTACCACAAATTACTAACAGTATGAAGATAGATACAGATTCACCTTTGTGATGGCTTACAATCTAGGTACATGAAAGCTATGAGGGGAGTTATGGGGCTCAAGTGTATCACAAATTACTAACAGTATGAAGATAGATACAGATTCACCTCTGTGATGGCTTGTATTCCAGGTACATGAAAGCTTTGAGAGAAGTTATGGGGCTCAAGTGTATCACAAATTACTAACAGTATGAAGATAGATACAGATTCACCTTTGTGATGGCTTGTATTCCAGGTACATGAAAGCTATCAGGGGAGTTATGGGGCCCAAGTGTATCACAAATTACTAACAGTATGAAGATAGACACAGATTCACCTTTGTGATGGCTTGTATTCCAGGTACATGAAAGCTGTCAGGGGAGTCATGGGGCCCAAGTGTATCACAAATTACTAACAGTATGAAGATAGATACAGATTCACCTTTGTGATGACTTACAATCTAGGTACATGAAAGCTATGAGGGGAGTTATGGGGCTCAAGTGTATCACAAATTACTAACAGTATGAAGATAGATACAGATTCACCTTTGTGATGACTTACAATCTAGGTACATGAAAGCTGTCAGGGGAGTTATGGGGCTCAAGTGTATCACAAATTACTAACAGTATGAAGATAGATACAGATTCACCTTTGTGATGGCTTGTATTCCAGGTACATGAAAGCTATCAGGGGAGTTATGGGGCCCAAGTGTATCACAAATTACTAACAGTATGAAGATAGATACAGATTCACCTTTGTGATGGCTTGTATTCCAGGTACATGAAAGCTATGAGAGAAGTCATGGGGCCCAAGTGTATCACAAATTACTAACAGTATGAAGATAGATACAGATTCACCTTTGTGATGGCTTGTATTCCAGGTACATGAAAGCTATGAGGGGAGTTATGGGGCCCAAGTGTATCACAAATTACTAACAGTATGAAGATAGATACAGATTCACCTTTGTGATGGCTTGTATTCCAGGTACATGAAAGCTATCAGGGGAGTTATGGGGCCCAAGTGTATCACAAATTACTGACAGTATGAAGGTAGATACAGATTCACCTTTGTGATGGCTTGTATTCCAGGTACATGAAAGCTATGAGAGAAGTTATGGGGCTCAAGTGTATCACAAATTACTAACAGTATGAAGATAGATACAGATTCACCTTTGTGATGGCTTGTATTCCAGGTACATGAAAGCTATCAGGGGAGTTATGGGGCCCAAGTGTATCACAAATTACTAACAGTATGAAGATAGACACAGATTCACCTTTGTGATGGCTTGTATTCCAGCTACATGAAAGCTATCAGGGGAGTCATGGGGCCCAAGTGTATCACAAATTACTAACAGTATGAAGATAGATACAGATTCACCTTTGTGATGACTTACAATCTAGGTACATGAAAGCTATCAGGGGAGTTATGGGGCTCAAGTGTATCACAAATTACTAACAGTATGAAGATAAATACAGATTCACCTTTGTGATGACTTACAATCTAGGTACATGAAAGCTGTCAGGGGAGTTATGGGGCTCAAGTGTATCACAAATTACTAACAGTATGAAGATAGATACAGATTCACCTTTGTGATGGCTTGTATTCCAGGTACATGAA